ATGTATAAAAATACTTTTCAATTATTCTCTAGAATGTTTTTTCTTGGTACTGTTTATATTAGGAATATATCTTATTTACCAATACTAAAACAATATTATGTATACTGTAAACTAGTACACATCTAAAAATCCACAAATATTTTTAGAATGAAGATACAACTAGTAATGTTTTTAAATACGATGACCAGAAAGATTTTTACGTATAAACAGGATTAAATAACGTTAGCATAACCACTAAGATCAGTTATATGATCAGTATTTAAAATTTTAATTACAAAAATTTTTTTTTTTAGGATATTGTTAACTTGTTCTTCTGGTTAACATAACCATCCTCCTATTATACGTAGCTCAAAAATGGGTTATCATATGGGGTGTCAGTAGAAACCAAGCAAATTGTTTCTAAGTAAACTTTAAATTAAAATACCTCAACAACTATTAAACCAAATAAAAAATTTTTATCGGGTTTGGTTTAATAGTTGTTGAAATATCTTAATTTAAAATTTAAAAAAACTTATTAAAAACAATTTGCTTGGTTTTTACTGACACCTCCCATACATTTTCAAAAATAAACCACCTTTTTTTGGAGGATGCTTAAAGCCGGGTACATCACAAAATTGCTATTAACGTTAAGATTAGAGTTAGATTAGGGCTTGTATAGGTTAATGTCAGAAAAGCACTATATGTAAATCGTTCTCCCGACACTTTGATTCAATATGCCAAGGTGCGTTTAGACACTTGTATTTTTTTCATTTTTGACTTTGCTTCGTTGGGCTGATTCGTGTAAACAAAATTTGCGATTTTGATTGGTCGTAGGCATCGGAAAATCTCGTGATGTACCTGACTTCAAACGACTCTTTTTCTTGGTAAAATTTTTATTCAAAAATTTTAGAGGTATGTAGCTTATTTTTGAAACATTAATTTTTTTGAAAAATTAAGAAAGATACTAATGAAAAGTTATTTAAATAACATTAAAATTTTAGAATATGTGTATTTTGTGTTTGAATGACTTTACTTAAGTAAAATTTTGATTTTATATGTAACAACTATTGATGATTTTTTTTTAAATTTTAAGATTAAGAGAGTAGCTTATTTTTGGAAATAGCTTATTTTCGAAAATATATGGTAAAATTCATTCTTTTATATATTATCATTACAACTAAAATTGTAAACTTAAAATTTGTTCACTTTATTGGTTGCATTATGTAGTACGTATCATCTAGCCGCCGTGGCGCATCATATTTTCCGACGCGATCGGTCGATAAATGATACGGAATATTACGCCAGAATATTACGCCAGAATATTACGCTAGAATATTACGTTAAAAGACATCGAATAAAGCAACATAACCTTTTATTATGAAGTTAATAATTATTCAACGTTATTTTGAATACTGTATAAGCGCGAAATAACTCGTGGGCGTCATTTTGAGAATCATGTTCTTCAAAAATAGCATACGTGGTTAGTGATCCTGGTCGATGACCAAAAAATCGGCTAAGCCGATTTTTCGACCCGGCCGGTCGATTTTGCATGGAAATAGCTTCCTCAAATTGTGCACTACCAGCATTTCTTACGTCAATTAGTTAGTATTATACTATATCTGCCCCGAAAAACTTTACTTATTTCTTACAGTTATTGGTAGCTCAACAGCCAATTTTTTAGCAACAATCGTAATATTAATATTAATAATGAAGTTCACAAATACTGTAAATTTGCCAATTAATTCGCATTACTTTGGTCTGAACTAGTCAAGTTCGCATTAATTTATTAATATATCATTCTACCAAATCAATCAAAATTTTTCAGCTAAGCCGACTAAGTCGATAAAATTTTATCGGCTTAGCCGGTCGAAAAATTTTGATCGGCCAGGATCACTATACGTGGTCTCAAATAAGCATCCGAATTAACGCGTATTCCGGCCTGTAGTAAAGGTTAGCCGGGTAATGTATCAGGGGTTCTGCGTTTTAGTCTAAAAATTTAAAGTAAATCATCCAGGTTCATCCCTTATTTCGGAATAACGCACATGGGCGTATTCGAAATAACGCACAGGTGGGCGTTATTCCGCGCTTATACGGTAAATACTTTTGAAGCTTCTGAACGCGCATATCTACAGACCAATCACATTGTATACACATTCAGAAAATGCCTGAGCACTCCCTCTAGATGCGCACGCCATCCAGTGTTGTACATTCTATGTCCCGTCTAATGTCTGACGTCCTCTCCAAATATCCATTTCGAAATAATAAAAAAATTTATATTTAAAAAAAAGCGGGTATTATTATATACTTTCTTTAGACTTTGTTACTTATAAGATTAACATAGATTATTCTTAATAAAATTTTGAGTAATCCCAATTTATTATTTTTATTTTTTCTTGTTTAACATTGCGTCATTTTATGAAATATGTTTCGGATACATCTTCTAATCTTCTAGACGTGCTTTTCTTTTATACACCATCTGACATCTGATAGTCAAATGACAAAAATAGATATATAAATAATTTAGGCGAGCGGTTAAAAACAAAAATGAGAATGATTTCAAAAATTAATGATTGTTCATATGCTATGTAAACTCTATTTTCGTTTATTATATTGTAATAAGTTAATAAATTTAAATAAATTGTGTAGAATTTTTTTTTAAATCATGTAGAGAACAGATAGTTGGTATATCCGGAAATATCACTTTGAATTTATCTATGCCTCGTATGTTCGGAGATCACTTCCGGTTGACACAGCAACTGTCCAAGAAGCACATGATAATTCTAAGTATGCACCTGCTCAAAGTGCATCGCAATGGCGCAACGCCAAACCTTATTTATTACAATTTTACGTATTATAGAACATCGAAGAAGGAATAGGATCCAATCTGGAAAATTTTTATGTATGTGCAATAAAAAAAATCATGTCCCGTTAAAAAAACTTCAGCCACATTGAGTTTAAGTCATTTTGAATTCTGCTTAGTATGTTTTTAGCAATAAGTTTGGCGTGTAATTGATTGTGATCACAGTCCAGACTGAACCAAAAGAATCCGGTATATACTGGTTTCGAGTCAAAACGTACTTTTAACATCCAATTTGAACTTAAGTACTGAAGTAACCAGCTAGAATCAATCTAGATTTTAGATTCCATCACGTGCTGTGGAGTCTTTTAAATTTTAACGTATCATAATAAATTCATTATACACTACTATTTTGCTTTGTTTTAGCTGTTGGAAATTAGATGCGTATCAGGTATGTAAGGTATAAACGAACGTACGTACGTACGAGAAAATTTCCATGTAACGAATGCTATTGTTTTAAAAACAAGTAATGATTTGCTTGTGTTACTATAGTTAGAATCCACCTAACAGTAGCTCTACGTCAGGCAATTGGCTCAATGTTTCCGAAAAGGCAATACAAAATAAGCTGCATGACGGGATCACGCTGTAGCATTTTGTTTTCCGTTTCGCCAAAGGCTTCAGGAATTTGTTGCACAAATTGTAAGAAAAATTGCCTCAGACCGGATAAACCGAATTTGTTTTAATAAATCAATTATTTATGAATGAAAAAAATTCTTATTTAAAGACAATTCCTTCTCGACCTTTGAATTTTCTCACCAAAAAATTAATATGTCTACTGATTCCTTTTCTGAAGAGTTAAGAATCGTACCTCCTTATCCCTTAACACTAACAGTAGAGGAGTTAATTTCTCCTTCGTTCAATTCTCGACGCGCGTCGCAATACAGGAGAAACCCTGCAACGTCGAGACCACCGAGGCCGTATTATTTCGAAATTCTCGCTAAAGCAGCGAGAGAAAAGCACAATGAACTGTACCCAGAATATAAGTATTCTCCTAAGAGAAAAAATAAATCAAAGAAAGCATCAAAATAATATCGATAACGAAAATAATATTTTTATCAAAATGCTTTACGAACTTACGTATTTATATTAACGTTAAAGTTTCTGTGTTTTTTTTTTTTTAATATATCCCTTTAAGATAAGATTTGTATAATTATTAAGTTTAATTACTGTATGTTTAACATTTCATATTTACTATAAACATACGTTTTGAACAAAAATATGTATTATCGAAAGATTTGTAATTTTTTAAGAAAATAAATAAAAGATTACGAGTTTTCAAAATAATATTGTTGTTTGCGAGTTATATTGTGGCGTCATTTCTCATTTCTAATGTAAAACAGCATGAGCTTTGGACAGTCTATTATCACAAAAATCAACATGACAAAACCTTTTAAACATGATATATAGGTATAAATATCGAAATTTATATTTGTCACAGGGAAATAAAGCGAAATACAAGTGCATTACAGTTGAAACAATGAGTAATGCAGCTATACCCCTTTACGATGCCCTCAAAACAAATTTATTGTATTAAGGTTTTCAAATTTAAACCTGTAAATAACGCGATACAGAAGCAAAGAAGATTATTCCCGATGCTTAATCCTTAGTAAAATTTATGTTCAAAGCAGAAACTACTATTTAAGAGCCCGCAAAAAAATATGAGCTGTGATTTTCCCAGTTCTATAGTTTCGAAATATGACAAATTCATAAATGAACCTTATTTATTTATACATATGTTGTAAATTACTTTTTCAATTATTCTCTAGGCTGTTTTTTTCTTGGTACTGTTTATATTAAGCATATACCTTATTTACCAAATATTAAACAATAATATTTACACTATAAACTAGTACACATCTATTTTTTAGAATGAAGATACTACTACGTAGTATTGTTTTTAAATACGTTGACCAGAAAGATAAACAGGATTAAATAACGTTAGTACAGTACGGGACAATCCAATCTATACATAGAGACGCCAATTTTGATGCTTATATAATTATATAATCAATTCTGATTGGCTAATTTTGTGTAATTGATTCTGATTGGTTAAAAATATATATATGTTTTCTTTTTTTTTTATATTTATATTAAACGCCAATTTTTTGAACTCATATAAACTTTAATCCTTTATAACTTTTTCAATGCCTTTATATCATTTGGATTTATTTTCAGTAATTTAAGTCGGCAAATGACTCTTCATATGTAGATAAGTCAATCCACGATTAATGCTATTGCAATTGTTTGGTTCTAGTTTTTAATGATATTTAAATCCATAAAATGATTCTTCATATTTACCAAACATTTAATAAGCTTCTCCACGGTTCTTTAATGTCGTTACATTATTAGGATTGATCAGAAAGTTGTTCAGTGTTTCAACTCCAACTCGGTTCCGTTAATTTCATCAAAAATCATTTCACCGACAACTTAGTTCACTGACAATTAAAGACAGTTTATCTCGCCGCAGCTCTCTTTACGGTCAGGCTCAGAATTAGAGTTAAGGGTAGTGCAATTTATAAAAAAACTTCTCGGTGAAATGAGCTGTCGGTGAAATAAACTGTCGGTAAAATGAACTTGTATGTGAATTAATTGTCGTTAAAATGAGCTTGCCTTTAAATTAACTGTCGATAAACTAAGTTATCAGTGAAGTGATTTTCGGTGAAATGATACGGATTCCATTCAACATGTTTAAAAAACCTTCATCCGGTCAACCATCAGGTGACCCTGGTAAAGATTTTTAGACGAGTCAGAGCACTTACAAGATTTTATACGATAATATCAGCTATAGATGATCTACGGGTTGATTTACGGGTTTAACCCACGGGTTGATTCAAACAGCAGAGACAGTGCCCGATCCGAAGTGAATCCCTCTCGCCTGTGATCAATCACAAATTAAATTATTTATGTTGGATTCAATTGTGATGGATATAATCCCTCACCAGTTTAATATATGTGTAACATTAACGGTCTCTGCTGTAGTTGATTCACGAATTTAACCCGCGGGTTGACCCGTTAACCTTTACCCAGGTTGGTGTAATTGCAACCCGGATACTTGACCCACCCGCGGGTAACTCGGGTGACGCCCAACCTCTAGGTTTATCATATATTTTCAAAAATAAAACTTTTTTGGAGGATGCTTAAAGTTGGGTGCATTACAAAATTGCTATTAACGTTCAAGATTAGTGTTATATTAGGGCCTGTACAAGTTAATATTAGAAGAGTACTATATAAAATCGTCCTCCTGACACTTTTATTTAATGCGTCAAGGTATGTTTAGACACTTGTTTCTTGTATTTTTCTCATTTTTGACTTTTTTTGCTTCGTTGGGTTGATTCGTGTGAACAAAAATTTGCGATTTTGATTGGTTGTAGACGTCGGAAAATCTTGTGAGTGTGGCACGGCAAAAAAATTTGTCATGCCATTAGCCAAAATTTATGCTGTGCCATACTATGGGTGCCATTGCACGCCATAATATAATTGAATCATCCGGAATATTTCGGACCTTTGCTCCAATTATTCTCTTGTAATTTATGTTGTTTGATTTTCTACTCGGAATATTCAAATATCAGTTTAGCCAGAGCGAGACGTATCATATAAGTGGCATGCCTATAGACTATTTTAGTTTTGGGCATGCCCATGACCACCGTGCCACACACCCTGGATGTACCTGGCCTCAAACGACCCTTTTTTTGGTAAAATTGTCATACAAAAATTTTAGAGATATGTAGCTAATTTTTGAAACATTAATTTTTTTGAAAAATTAAACAGATACTAATAAAAAGTTATTTAAATAACATCAAAATTTTAGAATATGTGTATAAGAACCACAAAGACAGCCTATTTAGTAAAAATTTGATTTTTATATGTAACAACTATTGATGTTTTTTTAAAAAAAATTTTAAGATTAAGAGAGTAGCTTATTTTTGGAGATAGTTGATTTTCGAAAATATATGGTAAAATTCATTCTTTTATATATTATCATTACAACTAAAATTATAAACTTAAAATTTGTTACTTTATTGATTACACTATGTAGCACGTACCATCTAGCCGCCGTGGCGCATCATATTTTCCGACGCGATCGGTCGATCAATGATACGGAATATTACGCTAAGAGGCATCGAATAAAGCAAGATAACCTTTTTATACCATCATTTATAAAGTTAATAATTATTCAACTTCATTTTGAATACTGTATAAGCGCGAAATAACTCTCATGGGCGTTATTTTGAGAATCATGTCCTTCAAAAATAGCATACGTGGTCCCAAATCAGCGCCCGAATTAACGCGTATTCCGGCCTGTAGTAACGGCTAGCCGGGTAATATATCTAAAGTAAACCATCCAGGTTCACCCCTTATGTCGGAATAACGCACATGGGCGTACTCGAAATAACGCGCAGGCGGGCGTTATTTCGCGCTTACATGGTAAAATACTTTTTAACAGCTTCTGAACGCGCGCATCTACAAACCAATCACATTGTATCACACATTCAAGAAAATGCCTGAGCACTCTCTCTAGATGCGCACGCCATCCAGTGTTGTACATTCTATTTCCTGTTTAATGTTTGACGTCCTGTCCAAATACCCAAGCATGTTCAAATTCATATCGATATAATAAAAAATTTATATAAAAAAAAAAAAAAAAAAAAAGGCTATAATTATATATTTTCTTTAGCTCTAGATATGGTTACTTATAAGATTAACATAGATTATCTTAATAAAATTTTGAGTAATTCCAATTTATTATTTTTATTTATTTTTTTCTTGTTTAGATGTCCAAAAAATGTACAAGCTGTCCCGTGATAAATTGCGCCATTTTATGAAATATGCTTCGGATACATCTTCTAATCTTCTAAACGTGCTTTTCTTTTATACATCATCTAACATCTGATAGTCAAATGACAAAAATAGATATAT